AATAATCCTGATATATTCAGCAATATTCATCAGATAAACATTCCTGAAACACAATTTGTAACTACAATTTCAAGACACTACAACACTTAATATTTAATATTTCACGAGGGAGGTGTGAAAAGCAGTTAAAACTTCAATAACATCTCGGCCATAAACTATGCTGAAGGACTCTTGGACACAATTAGTTGGCGTTGATGCTACGATTCCATATACATTTATGAAACACGTAACGTCTCTTTAAGATTAAGATTAAGATTAAGAGTCACTGTGAACTTAAAGAATCGCAAATAATTACTTGGTAAAATATAATATTATTTTATACCACGACATAATCCATTTTATATCAATTGGTACTTTAAATTTATTACGTGCCTCACCAAATATGATAATAACCTATTGAGAACATCAAAAACCAGCGGTAGTTTTATCTTTAACAAATTAATTTTTTTGTCAAATACAATCTTCTGAGATTTCTTCTCAGACTAATGTTTACTTTCATTAGTTATTTAGGTTAATTAGGAATATAATTAAATTATAAGGCTGAAAGTTTCTTGATTATGACGTTACATCTAATCTTAAGAGTTTTGTGAATGTAATTACTGAATGTTTCATCCCTGATTAATGAGCATTAAATATCCTTATTCTGATTCCTTCGTTCGATTGATGCAATAAACCAATACGCAGTTCCATTTATTTCAAAACCACGTCCTGTGCCCTTTTCCTTACGCAAAGCTGTGGAAGACGAACTGCAGCGGTTAGTTGAAAACCAAGTCTTGGCGCCAGTGAATACGAGTGAGGAGCCTGTTACATGGTCTTCACCTATAGTGATTGTTGTAAAACCTTCTGGAGCAATACGCATATGTGCTGACTTTAAAAACACGATCAACCAGTATATGATTTCAGACAACTATCCTATGCCCAGATTTGAAGAAATTACAGTGAAACTTACTGGAGGACAAGAGTTCACAGTCATCGATCTCAAGGATGCTTACTTACAGATGGAAGTTGACACTTGCGTACAAAAATATTTAATTTTTTCCACACACAAAGGGTTTTTCAGATATTCCCATCTTCCTTTTAGGATTAAAATCGCTTCAGGGGCATTTCAGTGTAAAATGGATCAAGTACTGGCGGACATGGAAGGAGTTGCATATCTTCTCGACGATGTAATAATCACAGCTCCCACACGAGAGGAATATATACGTCGAGTTAGAGAGGTGCTAACACGTTCTACAGATATGGGTATCCGCGCACAAATGTCAAAATGCAGATGGTTACAGAATTCAGTCAAATACTTGGGTCACATGATTGACAAAACTGGCATACATCCCACAAATGAGCACTTAGAAGGGATGAAAAACATGCCGTCCCCTAAAAATGTCAAAGAATTGAGATCGTTTCTGGGGTCAATCAACTACTATGGTAAATTTGTTCCACATTTGCAGTCATTGTGTGTTCCCTTACATGGTCTATTAAAGAAAGGAGAGAAATGGCAATGGACAGATAAACGCGAGAAAATAGCAACAAAACTGAAACACTTGACTGAACACTATGACGAATCGTTACCGCTGATACTAGCCACTGACGCAAGCGAGGTTGGTCTGGGTGCTGCTCTCTTCCACAGATATTCGGACGGGACTGAGAGGCCGGTGATGTTCGCTTCAAAGACGACTCGACTCTCCTGAAACCCGTTATTTGTGATAGAAAAAGAAGCTCTAGGATTAGTTTTTGGAGTAACACGTTTTGAGCAGTATCTCTATGGCAGACATTTTGAAATACGGACAGACCATAAAGCCTTAATCAAGCTTTTTGGAGAACATGATCCGATCCCTAAGGTTGTTTCAAACCGAATCGCAAGGTGGGCTCTAACATTGAGTTCCTAGGACTATTCCATAACCTACCAAAAAGGAAAGGAAAACACAACTGCAGACTTGCTCTCAAAATTTCCTCTTGAATCAAAAATCAAATCAAACGAAGAACGCCTAGGAGATTGCAACGGATCTCATCTATTTCATCTCAGGTCTCAGGATTTACCATTGACCTCAAAGAGCTTGCAAGAAGCAACGAAACAAGACGCAATACTCGCTAAAGTAATAAACTACGTTAGAAGTGGATGGCCAGAACATGTTACCAAAAACAAAGAAGTTTTACCTTATTACAACAAGCGTGAAGAACTTTCTTTTGAAAACGGAATATTACTCTGGTTCGGTCGCATAGTAATACCTTCAAAACTGAGACCAAGAGTAATGGAAGTACTCCATGAGGGACATCCAGGAATAGTCGCTATGAAAGGTAAAGCGAGATTTCAAGTGTGGTGGCCCGGTATAGATAAAGGTCTGGAAGAACATACAAAACATTGTGTTGGTTGTCAAGAGAACAGGCCTAAAGACATGGAGATGCCTCTCTTCTCGTGGACAGTCCCAACAGAAGTCTGGTCAAGAATCCACATAGACTTTGCGGGACCATTCTTAGGTAAAATGTGGTTGATTGTTGTAGACGCACGATCAAAATGGCTAGAAGTGATACCCATGTCGACAACAACTACAAAAGCCACTATCAATGCCTTAGAAGAATTGTTCTCAAGATTAGGCTATCCCAAAACTATCGTCAGTGACAACGGTCCTCAGTTGACATCTCATGAGTTCCAGACGTTCTGCAAAAACCTTAATATCAAGTACGCACGTATAACACCATATCACCCAAAAAGCAATGGGTTAGCAGAACGGTGTGTTCGAACATTTAAAGAACGTATGAGTGCATCACAGAACAATGTGGGAACCGTCCAAGAAAAGCTCAAAAGTTTCTTGTTCGCATACAGAACATCTCCAAAAAGGTCAACTGGAAAATCACCAGCTTTCATGATGTTTGGACGTGAACTACGAACAAAACTAGACCTACTAATCCCCGACGCAGATACTAAATTAAATAAAGAATTAGTTAGACAACGATTGGACAAACACGAATCAAAATTAAAAGTGTTTCAAGAGAATGACCACGTCTGGGTGTTAAATACGTCCGGATCAGGATTCAAGCGAGGCAATATAGTAAAAGTAAATGGACCCTATTCATATCGTGTAAACGTCGATGGTGTGAACCGGAGATGTCATGCAGATCATTTGCGAACGGCAGTCAGCTTTTAGAAGAAGGGGAGATATGTAGTGTACCAGCTGGTGTTATTGTCACACGTTTTAAGATGAATTAATTGTCGAAATGTTTACAGTTTAGTTGTTTTTTTACTCACTTAGAATACACATCATGTTTTCAAAATATGTCTAAATATTTTATTCTACTAATATAATAAACCACAACACTACACTCCTAAATTCTGGTCAGCTAAAGATTTCCCCCATTCCTAGTACAGTTCTCAGGCATCAGGTTAGTGTGTTACTGAATTTATTTTGTTTATTATCATTATTGGAAAATTTTTATTTTTTTCATTTTATTGTGCCGTAGTCGCGTGCACCCCGCACGCTTTTTCACGAATTGTTAAACATTGTTTAGTTTTTAAAGTTATTTTACAGTAAACAGATTGTATTATTAATGAAATTTCTGACTGAGCCAATGCATATATGGAAATCTGCCCAAATAACTGACTTATGATTTAAGAAGTTTTTCAAATAATGATTATGAAACATGATAACCTTGTTAACATAAACAAGGTCTAAATAAGAAAAATTTCCCAATTACAAATTTCAATTAGCGGCCATTAAAATTTGTATAACTTAAATAAAGTACACATTTATTTATTATTTAAAATCCCCTATCAAACGACGCCATTTTTTTATTTCTATAATCATTGGCAAAGTTTTAGAATAAATAATCTATTATAAAGTTTTAGATTAAATAAACCTACCACATACATTTCTTTGGTTCATCTGTCTGAAACTGTGAAATAAGCAATTTTGCATTTCGTATTGTTAACATTTAAATGACAAAGCATTAAAATGTAAAAATTGTGAGTGTTCTTATTGCAGCCATGGAGACCAATCGACATTTACTTTTAAATCCTCTCCTCAGAACTTTTAAAGCCAAAGGGGTAGAGCCCATGGTCAGTATCAAAGTGTACCATCATATCTGTCATATTACCATTCTGTGTATGGTAGCTAAATTTTTGTAAAATTTAGCCCGGTCGGTTCAGTAGTTTTTCGCCTATTAGTAATACACGTATAAACACATATCATTAGATTTTTATATAATAGTACAGTAGTGATATTTTAAATATTCTACTTTTTGATTGATGTGATCTGATTGAGGTATTAAATAACTTTTAACAGTATGGATCTGAAATCAACACTTGTATTGCAAATTAGTAGTTGTATTCACTTAATTACTGTTTCTGTACTGACAAACTTAGTTTTGAAAGGGTTAAAGGGTATTGCATTGGATTCATTTTGCCTCGGGAACAAGTTTGGACCATATTAAATTGCGCAATTCGTGAACGGGTCCTCTCGTAGTAATAATCCCTACAAAGATATTGTCTCAATTTAAAGTGATAGGTAAAAATAATAATGAACTTTGATAGTCAATGACAAAATAAAATTTTGCCTATATAGAAAACTCCACTCATATTTATAGGACGCCTGTGTGAACACCACATCGTCTGTTCAAAAATTTACCTAAGGTAAGAGCGGGCCAATAAGCTAGTCTTTTTCCAAACAGCAAATCATTATTTTATAGTTTACGTATTCTTTAAAAACCTTACTGGTATTTCTTAAACGATGTATGTAAAACCTAAAAGAAAATTATATCTACTATCCCCCCAAAACTGGATTTTGAATACTGGTTATTTGATATTCAAATAAGTTAGGCCATATTTTGGTACCTAACTAAAGGCATTTGGACCAATTTAGTTTATCCATTTAAAGAAATTAATCTTGATCAGTGCTCTAATTTTCCCTGATTAGGCTGTTGCATGCAATCAGGCAGACGGGGATTGAAATAAGTTTCGTTACGGCTTTTCAAAGTCATGTAAATACAGTATATTTGTTATTTAGGGATTAAGAAAATGTAAAGTAACAATTTAAGAACGATTAACTTTTATTTTAATCCAAAGGTTTTTGGAGCGACTCATTCCTCTCTTAATGGAATGGACATTTATCCCAGGTATGTTCCCATTTTCCAGCAGCTTTGCTTAAGTAAAATATTCCATTCAGCTGAAAATTAAGAAATGAATTGATCAAACAAATTTCTTGGTCTTCGGTAAATATCAAGAAACATTCTAAAATATGTATAGTAAGTAAAACAACTTCAAGAATCCTGTTCTTTAAACAGTTTAACTTAACTAGTGTAGTTGTTGTCAAAATTTGACTAGTGACAGGTATCAATAATGTTACAGTATTAAAAAATACATCAGGTTGATATTTATAATTTGCTTTACTAAACTTGTAAAGATTGAGGAAGAAATGGAAATATTCAATAAAAGCTTAATAAACGACATAACCTTGATCTTTATTGACGTAGCAAACAATCTGGAGCTACTTATTGAGTTCTTTGTGTATTGTCTTTCAGCACTTTGTCTGATAAATAAAAATTTACTTTGGTGTCAGAATATATTACTTACTTGAAGAACCAGCCAAAACCTTAGGCCTAAAACTCTTTGCTGACTTAGCCCAGTCAATAAAGGTTTTGTGCCGTAATAAATTAGAGACTGGCAAAACTATATACCACTTTCTAGTACACAAAAAGATGTACACTTTATACAAAGTCCCCTAAAATCCCTTTGGTGCTTCTCCCCCCTCCATGCAACTCAACGTTAGGAATTGCAAGGTTTAACTAAATCACACTTATATCCAATATGGTTTATTCGATTACCATATTTAATGAATTTACCATATGGGGAAAAGCTATTACCGTAGTACTCATGGTAGTCCCTGGACCCGGGATCGATTTACTTTTTCGTTTTGAGGTCCCTAGAGGCCAAAAACACAATCCATAAAATTCATATACAGAGTGATCAACTCAAGGAGGCCACCGTTGGGATATCGGAAACGGTTAGGGTTAGGGCCTAAGCCTACAAAAAATATTAATTCAGCTATTGAGTTTCCTTTCCATCCATCCCAAAAAATGTGGTGCTACTAATTTGAATTTGCCGCCAAGATACAGCTGATACTCAACGCTACCCCCTCCCTCAAGGACAGGACGACGCCACTTGCACTCGGACTCCTGCAGTGACTGGCCGCCCCCACCTACACGCTAGTGCCCACCGGCACTATGATTTGTCATTACCTATGTACTAAATATATGTTTTAATATACACGTTTACATAACAATCTAGCCTATTACATTTCCCCGGCATCTTTGCCCTCACGCTGACCCAGAACGAGACGCCGGATCCACGCTCCACGCTGCTACCAAGGATCCCCGCTCATCTTGAAGACATCTGTAGAAGGTAGCACCACACCAAACCTATCTAAATAAATAATTTTTAATTCCACCCCCAAATTGTTTTTGCATTTTGCATTTTGTTTGTGTCGAAAGAACCGAAGCCCCTCAACTGCAACCCGGTAACTATAATAAACATACCCGGGTCCCATGGTGTAGGCCGGAGCATACGCACCAACCTTGGCACACCATGGGCGGATGACTTAAGGTCCTCAGGCTCACTGGCTGCCGAAGCAACCCTTCGGAAAGAGGGTTGCCCCTCAATCGTAACGAGGGATACCGGCTACTTGGTTAAGCGTCACTCCACCTGGAACCAGCAGGTACAAAACCTGAAGTCCCATAATGAAATGCCCTGACTCATTTAGTGCAAGCAACACTCGGGACCTATCCAATCCCTGACAGGCCAAAACCCGCCATAAAAGCGAGGAGGAAAGGGACCGCCAGCGAGCTGATGGGGGAACCCCAACCCCCATTTCCACCACTACCCGATCGCGGCCTTACCCAGTTGCTGGGAAACCAGAGGTGACCAGGGCGATAAATCCCCGAAAATCCCCAGCTGGCTTGAACCCAGCACCCGATCTACTTCGTTTGCCCATCTAGCCCAACATCACTGCCAGGCCATCAGGGTTTCCCAAAAGGAGGCAGGAATAGAAGTTGGTCTTACCCGGATGAACCTATCCACCAAAGGTGGCGACACCCTTAACTCAATTGAGGTTCCAGGGAGAACCCTCCACACTCTAGATAACCATACCTTTCGGGCTAAGAGACAAGGATTGGCTGATGGAGTGCTCCCAGCCGTTGCCCTCACACTGCGGAAAGTTCTGTTCCCCTAGAGTGTCCCCGTGAGCTTACGGGTACTCACCCGATTTCACCTCCAGGAAAGGCTACTTCTAAAGTCGAGGATTTGCCACACAATATGTTGCTCGCACACAGGAAGCGGGCCGAAACCCATAGAACCATAGTCACAGGTGGATGGGAGATTGATGACGCACTTCCACCTCTCCGAGAGCTAAACACCCCGCCAACCTGGATGGAGGAATGTCACTGGGAACTCTACCCTAAGGGGCTGGCTTGTCCAATCGTCCATAACTATGGCCTACTTGCAATGCCGATTCCAACACCGAGCAGTTACCTCCCCTTCGGAAGCTCCACCCCCAACAGATAGAATTAGAGAAAACTTTAAATGTGACACATTCCTAAATTTGTTGTGACAATTAAAAATGTGAATTAGTTTTTTTTATTCAGCCACCATTTTACAATATGTTGGCCAACATTAAAACTTCTTATGGAACACCCTATATTTTATTATGTTTTCAGATAGAACATGCAATTTAAAAAACTGTTTATTCATGACATTTTTTCCATAAACTCACTCTTTATGAGTTACAGCCAATGAAAAAATGACTTCCGGTGTACATTTTACATGATGTAGTCCCTAAACGAGTAAGTTTAGAGCAAACATGCGAAGTGTAAATAAGTCTTAAAATTGCATCTACATTCCTAAAAGACCATAAAATACACAGTTTTCCACTTTTAACGTGTTTTACCATTTTGGAAAATAGCCGCCGTTTTTGAAATAATAGAATCACAATTTTTTTACATATTTAATGGTATTTTCGGAATGTGAAGCAGAATGCAAAGTCTTATACATATGTCTACTAGAATCAATAAACTTCCTTTTAATAATATATATTTACTAGTTAAACCTCTTACCTTCTGATTTTAAGTCGAACTAGCTCTCATAAAAATTAAATAAAATAATAAAATAAAATTGTTGACAAGGGATTTTAAGTATTGGGACACCTATTGACATTTGAATTTTTCTATTCCATACCATTTTACCCAGCAAACTAATTGGTTGGTTGAAACATTCAAAATTAAACTACATTAAAGTGATTACTGGCGTCTAATTTTCACAGATACCCATTTGAGAAAATATCAACTTTCGGAATGCCTTCATCACATTTGATTATCTACTCTGGACCTCTTCTAGCTATAATAGTGGGAGAGTATTAGGAAAGTTGACCTAGCGGACTAATTGGAAATTACATAATGAGAAAATATGTCGTTATAACCATGTTTATGAACATAGAACTGTCTATGGCACTGGAAACAATTCACATCCATTAAATTATTAAAACTAATGTATATGACACAACTAAGTGATTTAACATAAAGCATCCTATCAGTATGTACCATTTAGTCAATCTCTTACTCTCTTAGGTTGAGAACAATTATTATCGCCCCTGGTAATCTACTTTTTTCCCTGATGAAGTACTACTCCTCACCAGTGAGCAGAATACAAATTTAGGTCAAGCCCTCTATAAAAAAGAATGCAACTGGACATGGAAAGCTTTTTAGATGGGAAAGTTTAGTTAATAAGTTATCAAAAAATAACAAGTGCGTAACACTTTAGTTTATCAATTAAAATATCAATGTTGTTCTGTCCAACAAGTCCATCAAAAGTAGGCTCATCATTATAGACAATGGGATCAGGACCCTCCAAACAGTTATGTGGATGTTCCTATTGGGTATAGGCCGGTGAAAATGTTTCAAACAAAAAGTTCAGGTATTGTGGGTGAACATTATGGCCTAATAGTCCTCTTAATTGCTAAATCTGATGAGCATAAGGACACAATTTTTTATCAAGCCTGGGTATAAAAAGAAGCTAAGAGACTCCTTTTTTGCCCTATGAATTATCTCAACCAGGATTAGAGGATATTTTTTGACGCATTTACAGAATGTGACAACATTTTTTCAGCATTTTAAAAAAGCAGTTGCTTTAACAAGCTTTCATTTAGAACAGGACTGTAATTTCGCATGGTTTCAGTTGAGTTTTTCCAATGATTCGTAAATTATTAAGATTATACAGATCGAATTGTAAGTCCTTGGATGAGCTACGGTATCGGTTCAAAAACTTAGGAAGCGTTGAGTGCATAATTTACCCATAGAAAAACAACAAATGAATCATTAAGACCACATTTCCAACTTAAAATCCACTCTTTAGGTCACAATCATACTCAAGTTTGGAGTTATAGGTTCAACACTTACTCTTGTGTCGGCTTCATAGTACACCACAGGGTATTCCTTTGGCTCCCCCTTTGCTTCGCATATTTTCTTAAAGAACTCAGTGTCACCTTTAAGAACAGATGACGTTCGTACTTTGAGCAATACCATTTTGTTGTACGTCTCACTAACAGTCACAAATTGATCTCTCTGAAAAATGTCAAAAAAATATAGGACAGCAATTTTTAATGACATTGGCAACTAGATAGACAAACAGATTAACTGCATTTCTAGACTTTGCTTGGATTGATTTTATTTTGGCTGACAATAAGGCTTATAGGTTCTACTTCCTTTGAATGGAGAAAGGTAAATGTTTTTGATATTGTTAAACTGATAAATCAATTTAGATCCTCCATAAGCAGAGACTACAACGAAATGTTTCTGGACATCCTTAAGGGAGTTAGTCATATAATTGCACTAATTCTTACATTTCTTATAAATAAGTGTCTGAGTAGTGGGATTTTCCTTGAGTTTCTTAAGATATCCAGAACCGTGCCGGTGTTCAAAAAGGGTCCAAGAAATAACAGCCGGTATCTAGTTACCGGCCCATATCTCTCACACCTGATTTTGCAAAGATTCTTAAATCAGTATTGTTGAAGCAGCTGTGTGAATATTTCGAGACTTGCCGTCTCTAAATTCGGGCTCAGTACGGCTTTAGGAGGGGCAGGTCCATTATTTCGGCAGTGGACTCCCTCCTCTAGGTCGTGTTGGGTTCCTTTTAGCAGAAGTGTTCCACAGCGGTTCTCCTATGTGATCTTTAACGCGCATTTGACTGCGTTTCTCATAAAATGTTGGCCGAAAAGCTTAAGATATATGAAATCAGAGGCACTGCCTTGAATCTATTAAAATCTTATTTGTGTCAAAGAAAGCAGGTGGTAGATTGGAATCGTTGTTTTTCATTCCCTTTGAATCTGCGATGCTTTGATTCATGGAGTGCCTCAAGGGTCAATACTAGGTCCTTTCTTGTTCATTGTAGCCATAAATGATCTGTACTAGAACGTATCAGGCAATGTTCTATTTTATGCTGATGGTACAACTCTTTTTTCAAGTCATTCAGACTGGGGAACAGCTAAGTCCTCTGTTCGTAGCCTGCTAGATACTACTTCAGCATGGTTTCGAAAAAACAAATCGTCCCTTAATGAATCTAAAACTCAGGAGATTGTTTTTAGTTCATGTACAAACTTATATGGAAATGAGCCTGTAAAGCTGTTGGGTTTCACACTGGACCCTCAGCTTACTTGGGTGAATCATATAGACAATCTGTGTATGAAGCTCAGTAGAGTCAAACACCTCTGAGACGCCTAAAATTGGACACTCCTTCTGAGTTTGTTAGGCTAGCATTTTTCGCCTTTTTCCAGACGCACATACTCTACGGCACTAAGCTGTGGGGTCACTCACAAAGGGTGTATAAAGTTCTGCTGTTGCAAAAGCGAGCGCTCAGCGTGCTGTGTGGATTTCATCATGTTGCACACTGCAGGCCTCTATTTAAGGCTTGTCAGATTCTGACTGTATACAATGTATTTATATTTTAGTGTCTTGTAGCGATTAAATCAAATGAGCATGTTTATATTCTCAACTCAGATGTGCACAGCTATTTCACTAGAACTTGTGGCAATTTGCATGTATCTAAATGCAGGCTTGATAAAGTACTGAAATTTTTTCCTGTTGTAGGTATCAGATTTTACGATAGAATACCAATTCAGGTAAGACGGCTGCCAAGTCAAAAATTTGCTAAGATCATTGAAAACTGGCTCCTAGAAACCCCTTTCTATAGCCTAAGTGAGTATAATGAAGCAGATTTCTCACCAATGACAATTGGACTTGAATAAAGTTATTATATAGCAGCCTGTTCTTTCATGGCATGTTTGGTATCAATCTTTTTTACTTATTTTATATATACTGTAGTGTTTTCTGCATGGTGTTTGTGCATGTTGTTATTATTATTATTGTTATGGACTGACTATTGTACGTCAAGAGGACTCAAGAGGATTGTAGTTTGTTTATTTATGATTTATTATTAATTTATTATTAATTAAGTAATTTTATAAATACTCACCATAAATTTCCTTAGAGGTTCCCACAGATATTTGCCATCATCGCCAACACGGACAAAATCATCACCGTCGTAGTAGAGAGTATATATGATTGAACCTTTGTATTGTTCATGTCTCCTCTCCAATTCGTCCTACAATCCCCAAAGAGATATACAACAGTTGAATTAACTGTGGTTAGGCTCTAATTTCAGATGAATATTAATATGGTACTCCAGGTTCGCTATCATGAGAATTTTTAAGAGTCACCAAATACCATGCTTCTATATTTTCTGGAGTTTATGTAGGTTTCCAGGCCTAACCGTTAAAAATATCCTGTTAAAAAAAAGTTAAGATCAACATTCACTGTAAGGTTACTTTTTTCTAAAAAAAAAAAAAACTTTAGAAGCACAAACCATTCATCTTAATTAAGTCCATCCTCTCTTTAATAGTTTGCATTTCTTGTGATTCACTTAATTACATGAGTCAATTAAGTACCGCCTTCCTTCCACCCCAGTTCATATTTTATATGTTAACTGCGAAACTATTGTAATGATACCTAATGGGATTTAAAAAATATTAAATTAATTATTTATGTTAATTTAGTTTTACATTTACTTATTTTATTTTAGTTTATAAAATAAATAAAAAACGAAAATTGAAGTCCAGCACCCATTGTCAATTTAATTAAAAGAAAATAACAGTTGACGTTTAGAACTTTCTACAATACTAAATATAAATATACTAGTGGGGTAGGACACGGCTAAAGAAAATTTGGTTCTAATAATTTACGGTATGTTATAGTATAGGAGATGTACTATAGCCATAGTGTTCTACCACTGCACCTAAACAACAAAAAAGTGAAATTCTCATTTTTCACAGCTTTTTGTTGCTAGTTGGTTCAAATTAGATCCTAATTTAAAAAAAAGTAGTGCTACACCCTGTTGGTAAACCTTATAACTTTTTACATGGTATTTAATATTATAGAACCAACTTGTGTAGTTGACACAGCTGACGAAATTCTGTTATTCCTTTAAAATATGAAAGTAAGGTTAACATGGGAAACTTCAGAGCCACTGGGGTAAAGGCCGAAAGAATATTTGAGATAAGAATGCCTCTATATTTTAATCGGGAATGTGAGCTATCATTACACCAAATTTCAACCCAGTCCAACCAGTATTTTTCGCGTTTACTTGTCACAAACATCCATCCATACATCCAAACTTTCTCACTTATAATTTACTAGCTGTTGTACCCGTGCTTTGCAACGGGAAGAGGACACAAAATGCAAAAAAGTTAATTGTACTACACCCTGTTGGTAAACCTTATAACTTTTTAATGCTATTTAATATCATAGAACCAACTTGTGTAGTTGAAACAGCTGACAAAATTATTTTATTCCTTTTAAATATGATTACTCATAAGGTTGACATGGGAAACTCCAGGGCCACTGAGGCGGAGCCCGAAAGGACTTTTGAGATAAGAATGCGTCTATATGTTAATCGGGAATGTGAACTATCATCACACCAAATTTCAGCCCGATCCGACAAGTATTTTTCGCGTTTACTTGTCACAAACATACATCCATACATCCAAACTTTCTCATTTATAATATTAGTAGGATTAAGTACGACATTTTTTATTTTATTTTATTTCAACGGACATTCCATTTTGTTTGATGTGGTGCTATTTTTTACAAACTTATCAATATAATAGTAATGCAATGTACAGTTCAGGATGGCTAATATTAAATTACAACTAAACATTTGATACTTAGACATAAGCAACAAAAACAAATAACAATAATATGGTAATTAACAACAATAACCAATAGCAAAAACAATAAAAATGACGATCGCCCTATATACTAATCATAGATAACAAAAAAACAGGCATGTTCAACAAAATAAATCAATATATTTTTATATATTTTGTTTTTTTATGAATAAATAAATATAAATATAAATTATAAATGTAATATAAATCTATACTATTATAAAGAAGAGGTGCTGTCTGTATGTCTGAGCTTTTGTATGAGCTAAACTAAAAGACTACTGAATCGACTGGGCTCATTTGGACAAACATAAAGCTACAGCTCCGAGGATACATGAAGAACTATTCCCGCCTCGGTATTGACCTAGGACTCTGCCCTATGGGCTTTGAAACTTCTGAGGTGAAAATTTTAAAAGTAAATTGATTGGTAACGAATAGCAAACTCGTAATGTTAAAAAGTAAATAAGCAGAATAGTTATCTGCATTTGATTTCACAATTCTACACAGTTATTTTAAACAAATTTATACAGCATTTCATATCGAATAAGTGTTTGATAATGTAAATTGGTGAAATTAGTTATATTCCAATACCGTTGCCGTATCTACCTTGGATGTTATCCTAAGTTTAATTTTTTAAGTAATAAAATACTCCCACCACAACAAACCTACAGGCAAAGTGAACTTCCGCTTTCCTGATTACATTTTCACTAAAATGTATCCTTAAAAATGTAAGAATATTACACTTTTGACAGGTTTGGAACTAGTGTGACAGCTTCTCGTAAACAGTAAAGAGTACTCAACGTGTTATTTTACTATACCTTAAGCATCTATCATTGATTTTGGATCATAGGTAGCCTCAATAATTGTTTACAGTCTGAGTTAACAATAACTTACTATTATTAATTTAAGTAATACAGTTCAATTTCGTTTCTAGAGTAAATGGTGGGTGCGAACCCTTTTTTTCAGTATTTTCTAAAATCAGCATTGCTTCTTTTGCATACTGACCCCGTTTAAAGGCACGGATATAGCGGCTAGTTATACAATACCAATATTATTATTATACTAAAATGTAAATCCTATGTATTAATTAGCAAGCAATTTAAATTTAAATCTTAAAGTTTTAAAGCCAATACCTGTTTAATTTAAATAAACAAAAACTATTGTAGGTACATACACCAATCTCCTTCAAATCAAATTACAACAGTGTCCATTCGCCACTCACAATTATTCATTCAAAACTCAAACTTTAGCTGATATATATTATAGATATGTTGTTTTGCCTTATCAATAGTGTTTTGAAATATATTGAAGAAACAATATACACTATTTCAAATTTGAAATTATTAATTTACCTCGTATAAGGAATGACTAGTGTACACGTTGCTCGAAATCGAGCAATTGCAAAGAAGTAAAGTAGTTATTTAAAAACAAATAAAAGTCATTATAATATCAGATGAGTTTAAAAGACCCAGTTCATAGATTACGTACCTAACAGTTCCATATAATCAACATTTCTTGTAAATATTTTATCATTTTTCAAAAGCTGATCCGGTTTTTTAAATGTGTCCTACTTATAGCCGTATTAGGTTATCCATGTTGATCTTCGTCAATGATAATGTAGTCTGCATAGTACCACCCATTGTCGCCAGTACTTTTACAAATTTCAGTAATTTTTTAGCGATAACATTTTGTTTACATGACTAAGAATTACCCGATTTCCTGCATAACCCCTCTGTCGCAATTTTATTTGCATCAATTGGCATTCATTTGGCTAGTTACTGTTATATCGTAAATTATACATACCTGAAAAAATGCAGAATTGAAAGGCCTAATGTCGTTCAGATGTTTTTTCCCCTTAAATGTAAATAATAACGTGAATAATGAGAATCCTTCAATGAAAGTTTTATTATGTTTTCTTGGATCACATTCTTTTAAAATCACTTGACTTTTATGAAAGCATGTTATTTAAATTATTAATTAAGTAATTTTATAAATACTCACCATAAATTTCCTTAGAGGTTCCCACAGAAATTTGCCATCATCGTCAACACGGACAAAATAATCACCATTAAATTAATTCATTTTATTCATCATTGCCTCCAGGATTGATTATAGACAATATAAATAGGTTACATACATTACGTCGTCAATCCTAAAATAAATCTATGGCGACTAGTTTCGAAACATCAAGGTTTCATTGTCGAGCCTCTTGCCTCTTAAAAATCGTCTTACCTCTTCAGTTGCATAGTGTCCGTCACCGCGGTACTTATGGCCGGCCGCGCATTCATTTTTGTAAATAGTATGTGTCCGTGTTCGTGTGTTTATGTTAAATGTACTGTGTATAATGACGACGACAAGATGTCACAATGTTTTTAAGAGGCAAGATGCTCGACAATGAAACCTTGATGTTTCGAAACTAGTCGCCATAGACTTATTTTAGGATTGACGACGTAAGGTATGTAACCTATTTATATTGACCATTAAATTAAATTAAATAATTAATGATTAATGTCCTTGTCGTACCAGTTTAATTCAGACTTTTCCTTTGCCAATCATCATAAAATTTAGTCCATGTTTCCAAAAAAATAGTAGCTCTTCGGCTAACATCCTTGTTCATTGTTTGTGAGAATCTTCATATTGTGGCTGTAGGTGTTCTTCATAATATAGCTTGATAACGATAGTAAATTTTTTTAAATCTCTATTTCTACTACTTGGTGGCGTTCTATGACTTTGCTATGTTTCTATGGTTAACAAATTGGGTCTTTCAATGATTTCTCAAGAAATATAGTACTATGTATATTCATTATTCTTATATGGTAAAATATATTAAATTGTCCAGGCTTTCTAGATTTTTTACATTGTAATATGTACGAATGTAAATTACAATTAATAGTAAATATTTAATTTCAACTACTTTCATCGTTGTATATCTGGTATATATTATTAATCATATTATTAATTTATTATAAATTTACAAATGAAATTGAGCATTGAAGACAACAAACAAAACAAATATGATTACGTTGCCCAGGCACAATTCACACTCGCGTTTGCTATTCTCTTCCCTCCCCTAATTCTATAGAACGAATCTAGGGATGTGTTTGCTACTCAACACAATGGTAAGGGCTATTTTATTTTTATATGTAAAAGATATGTAATTTTTTATGTTTTTGTTTTGTTTGTCGTTTTCAATGATCAATTTCATTTGTTAATTATTAATATGTACCAGAGATACAGAGATGAGAGTTTTCTTATTTTTTTTAATTTTAAAATTAATCCTGATTGGCATTATTACTTATACGAAGTAAATTAACAATTTCAAATTTTTAATAGTAAATATTGTTTCTACAATATATTAAAAAACACTGTTGATAAGGCAAATTAACTTACTTATAGTTTGTATCAGCTAATGTTTGGGTTTTAATGATTTATTGTGAGTGAAGAATGGACAATGAAGGATTTGTAATTTGATTTAAAGGATATTGGTGTGTGTACGTATAATAATGTTTATTTTTTAAATTAAACAGCTATAAGCTTTGAAACTTAAAGATTTAAATTAAAAATTTGGAAAATAAAGAAAAAAGAAAAAAGTAAATGAGGGAGATGAAGGGGATTCAAGTTTATGAAAATTATATTGAGAATTGTTGCAAGATTAAAAATAAATCCAACTAAAATTACGATTTTCACTACTTATCTGATTTAAAGGCCACAAACATTCATCAAACGAGACGGTTCAGTTGGATATTTTTTCTTTAAGAGTCGCGGATTTGTCAGTGTACTATACAAAAGATGTATATATAAGAATATGTCTATTTCGCCCCCTCTTCCGGTTGCAAACCACGGGTTCAACAGCTAGTTTAAACTTACCACGAAGCAAATAATCTTTGTGTTTGGGTTAACACCCCTATACACCAAATATTTTATGTAGGAAATAATATCATTGTTGCTTTGATTTTGGTAGTTAAAAAAAGTTTATTAGACTACTCTTATAGTTTTTATTCCGCTAAATACACTAAACATATAATTGTTTGTAAGTAAATACTGGTTTAAGGTGGCTTTGATCTTGTTTTTAATTGTAATGAAAATTATTTCTGATAAAACTTTTAGAAACCTTTTACGCGAAAAATGAAAATGCATAAGGGTCTGTTGAGACGAGCTTCGTTCTTGGTAAAAACCATTAAATTTTTTCACTTCACTGAACTACTATAGTTCCTGAATTGGCTGCAAGGATGATATATAACGGATGCCCACAACATACGTTTCAGAGAACTCCACAAGGGACCGAAGTGATCACACCGATTCTCCTGGGCGTCACCACTAGGTGGTCTTGATGGAAGCGGCGGCCGCTGGTGCATTTTCGCAACTTCATTGGATGTAGATCATCCATCTGAAAGTCGGTCTGATTAGGTAATGGGAGAAGGTAGTGGGGTTTCTATTGGTCGGCTGGTAAGGATTTTGTTTGCAAAACGTGCCACAACGCCGAAGGAAAGTTCCAAACGCCCTATAGAGCCGAAGCTTGGATTTGGTAGTGCAGGATTTATTTTGCTTTGAGAGCTATAGTGATGATTCTAAATTCGGTACTGACAAATATTTTTAGTTTTCGTTCGATGGTGTTGGATTTTTTTAAAAAAATATTACGGTTCTGTAACGCAAACATTTTTTATGCGCTCTAGGAATAAAAATACTACAACTACGAACGTGATATTCGGTATGGACTCAAACATGATTCGGCACTATAGAAATCGGTGCTATGGCTGATTCTCTCTCAAATGCACTAAAATTAATTTTCACTTCTCTACCAAACGCATAGTTTACAAACTGAGAAAATATCTATATACTCACCTTATCAGCAACATCGATAACTTGGAACTGTAAACAAGCGATTAAAAAATAATTGACTTAATTATAATATTAATATAAATAATTATGAAACTAAACTGTAGGCATGATAGTATAAGTTTGAATAGCCCTATTTTAATTTTTGTTTGCGGTACCATAGTAATTTGGAGTATTTTTCTCAAATCTAATCAAATCCATTTATTACAATCAACATTAAATACATGTATAGCAACGTAATACAGTTGTCATCACAATATTTTCATTAACCTACTTGATATGTTCTACAAATCATTTGTAGGGAACTCTCTAATATTATTTTTAGCATACAAGATATTAACTTTCCTTAACTATATCTATATTATAGGGATAAATTTGGCCAAAATAAGATTTTATCAAATATATAAATGTAGCAAGTCAATGTTAAGATGTGACAGTGAATTTCAAATTTCCCGCTAGATAAGTACATCTAAGATCTGTCGTAGAGTCCGTCAGGCGCCACCGTCAGATAGATAACCCCCGCCATAACCTTTAGAGTGGAAGGAGCTCTAGGAAGTAATCACAGGACATTCAGTGCCGTACATACACATACACAAATTTTTACACGAAAAAATTAATATCCAGGCCAGCCTACACAAACTACTTCGCACCGACCGGTACACTGACTGACTGACTGATAAAAGTTAGCCGATACCCTGGAGACGTTGACCTTGGCCTCGGGGAGGGGGGAATCAGACAGAGGAGATCTTGAAGATCAAACAGAATGATTCCATGAATTTTTTTGGATCTGACGTTATTAAAAGACAATAGCAGCTACAAATACAAAATATATTGGAAACCGACGGCCACTGATCACACGATACAAGCCACGTCAAACCATCCCCATTCCCACAAAATGGCTGCCTACAATAGTTTTGTAAACTGGCTATTGAAGGTTCCTTTAACAAAATAAACGGTATCAGCATTCTGACACATACTTTCTTCCATAAGTTTGTCAACAACCTTTATCATGTGTAAGCGGTGAGAGTAAATTTACGAAAATGGGATTTGTACAATTTTGTTCAGTATTTAAAGGAAATACAAAAATTTTATCAAAATCGTTCGCCATTTTTGGAAAAACCCGATTTTCCCGTTATTTTATGGGGTTTTTAGGGGAAAATAACATAATTTACAATAACTTTTGAACCGTAATTTTTACAGAAATGGGATTTGTACCATTTTGTTCCGAATATAAAGGACTATCACATACTAAGTTTTCATCAAAATCGTTTTGGCCATTTTTGGGAAAATCCTATTTTTCATTATTTTATAGGGTTTTTATAGGAAAATAACATAATTTACAATAACTTTTGAATCGTAATTTTTACAGAAATGGGATTAGTACCATTTTGTTCACAATTTAAAGGGCTACAACATACTAATTTTTATTAAAATCGTTCGGGCCATTTTTTAGAAAATCCGGTTTTTCCGGTTTTTTCATCGGTTTTTATGGGAAAATCCCCATTAAAAATCAAAATTTAAAAAAAATTAAAAAACGCCTGGAGATACCATGGATTAGAACCTACATACCAAATTTCATCAAAATCGCACTATAGGTGTTGTCCCTAGCTCTGTACACATCCAGACACACACACACACACACACACACACACAGATATCACTTCGAAAACCACTTTTTTTGGTCCAGGGGGACCCAAATCGAATATATCCACTCAAAACTCAAACTGGAAAATTTTGATGAAAACAATACTTTCTCCATATACAACAATATACAATACTTTCTCCGTATAGGGGGAGAAAGTAAAAATGATTACAAGAATGAATATTTAATCCTAAAACATATTGCAGTTAAAAATGGTTATCCTAGCACCATCATAGATACAATACCCAGGAAACAGAAATCCAGAACCGTTAAACAAACAATTGATAGGCAAAATGGTCTGATAACAAGTTCGTATCTATTGAGTACGGCCGTGGATAACATGTCATGTTACGCGTAATATTCCGCGTGGGGCGTATCTCGCGTGGTGATATCACCGTAGTTTGAGTCATTTTCTTTGAGCGTATCTGTCCGAGTAGGCGTTTAGTCGTAAGTTTGAGCTATTTTCCTCTGTGTTTTGTTTTAGAAGTGCGGTGGTCTATTGGATACTTTGTTCGTTTTAATCCGCGTAAGGCACATATCTCACATGTCGATAATATATCAATCATATATCGGGTCAATTTAAACCTGTCTTTAGATTAATTCACGTATCGAGTCGTAAGGGGCAATTGCCTCGTACGATGTAGTTTGTAAATATGATTGTATAGAATATCGAGAAGGGCATCTGTCTCATTACCCGTGACTTCCAGTTTATCATTCATTCTGCAAAGGTAACAATTCATCACGCAACTTGAAATATCACGTGAATTAAAGTGCTACGATTCGTCCATGATGTTTGAAGTGCGAATGTGTAAAATTCGGTGCGAGAAAGGTGCACATTTTAATAACCTGTAAAACATTGTAATTAAGTCCCGTTAACCATTTCAATGCATGTATTGCCACAGGAGTAATGGTCATGTAATAAATATCGATTGATTACTAGATGTGGTTTGGGAGTTATGACATTGTTCAGCCAGTACGTCTTAAACAGTGCTGTACACATAAAGAAAAACTTAAACGAATTTAGCTCAAGGGGTGACCTTCATAGTTGCAATACTCGTAACCGTAGCCAACTTGACCTTCCATCCCATCGGCTCAGTAAGACTGCAAACAGTTTCCCCACTATGGCCATAAAGCTGTATAATAGTCTCAGTGTTGAGATCAGAGGCCGCCAGTGAAAGCGTTCGTAGCGCACATGTCTAGGGAGTTGAAGACTAGGCCCCTTTACTCTATCAGGGCATTTTTTGAAACCCCTGACTCAGTTTGGACATCATGATCCACCGCTTTGTATATAGTGTATATAGACAAAGTTTTAAAGTTTTATTTTTTTCATTTAACGCAATCTATCCAGGTATGGCTGGGCAACGATGAAGAACCGGTGGGTTTATCCGATTTAAATATAATTTATTTTTTAATGTGGGAATAATTAACTAATTAATAAACTATACTCTATATACCGCTGTTACAAGGTTGTAAAGAGTTTTCTATGTGATAATTTCATAATAGTTAACCTTTAATTCAAATCCCACTAATGCAGACTTTATTTTTGTAGATCGTTTTTTGTCAGATACATTTTTAAAGATTTGTTCGTGCAATAACGTCTATAGACAAGAACCATTATTTTTTACTTACGTTTTCATGTAAAACAGCTTAAAGGCGTCACATAGAATTTACAAATAAATTAGGTTGATGTATTTTAATACCATAGGAAAAGTAATACAGATTTCTTCAATAATTACTATTATATAAGTTGTGGTAAACTAACTTTGTTTCAGCGTAGGGGGGTTCTACTATTATCCAGTATATCAGATTGTTCTTGAAGGGGATTTGGTTGCTTTCTTGATTTACTTTTCTGGAAGGAGGTTTTCTTTTAGGCTAGACATAAGGGTTGTGGCATTATCTATTAGATAAAATCCATTGGTTATCTGGTGGGATTTAAACTCCGGACCTCAGGGACCAAAGGTCTGGCTCTACCACTAGAACGACTCGCTCCCCCGAGATGGATTCCTCATAGATAGTGGAAGGATGTTAAAATGTACAGCTAATTTATACTATGGGTTAAATTCTGCGTTCCCCTAGATACAGGTATGATCGAGTTTGATGCAGTCTGTTATGTAAAGTGTAGGTCTGGCTCGGTGTGATGCTATTGTTGTATAAGGATTTGAATGTTTTGCGAATATGGAGTGATACTACGGTCAGCATTTTTGTTCCAAAAACAGTAGTCGTCTTATCGCGCTCAGTCAACTAGGGAACTATTTGTTGGATAAGAACGCGTTTAATTTGATTGCGATGGTTTCCCACCTTTAGACCCTTTCTAAACAGTTATTACTATTGGAATACATATGCTGCATAAGCAGTATGTAGTTCCGCGTCAAAAATCCTATTTAGACTATGCAGTTTTGTTGTTAAGAGGTTCCATTGGACAATGCTTTGTTATTCACAAAGCAGACCTCCCTGGATGAAGATCACTTCTTAGTCTTAATGTTTATAACTTTTTAGAGAATTTTATTGCATAAAATATGGATAAGGCACAGAATGATGAATTAATTAAACAGAAAGTATAACAACAATGTTGTTGTGGACTAAAAATTTCTGTGAGGATGGATTTTGCTTAGTATTCATTGGTTTTTCATACTTACGGTTTCCCAACCTTGTCAGTTGAGTGAGAGACATGAGTAGGGAATGTTTTCAAGAGCTGTTAATCTAAGTATACAATCAACGCTAAAGATGAGCTGATGCTGATCACACAGCTGATGTGTTCAAAGTATAATGAATTGTATATTTTAAACATCATATACCACATACACACAAAGTCGTTGGATTTGTCTTAGTTGCGAGAATTGTATGCTTCAACTCTATTAAAGCTATGGTAGTAAAAAACCGGACATACCTTATTTTCCATTTCAAAATAAAAAAAGCGTCCTTCCTCTCTATCAAAGATTTCTTTTGTCATGGGATCCATTTGAAAATCAAAAATGAGGCCATTATATAGAGATAAAACAATGCCATTGTGTACGTTTTGTCTGGCAAATTCTGCTGCAGTCTTAATCTGTAAAAAAGTCATAAATGATTTTGAGGTAAACGTGATGCCAAGTGAAACTGTAGGATAATAGTCCAGGAAAATTAGACCAAAAATAGATCGTGCTTCCCAGAAAATCGTCTAAAACTAAAAAGTATTTAATACCTTTTGGGGGTCCAAAATAAGAGTTGAGTTTGCAAAAGATTTTGACGTGTGATTACGTTTTGGGAGTAGAAAAACTGCGAACGTTTTGCACTTATTTGAGGTTTTTCGCTTATTAACCTCAAATGCCACATTTCATGGTAATTTTATTAGTCAGTTCTTCAAGCGCAATAAATTATGTGTGACTGATATAAAATATGTCAAAGTTTGCTGAGCAGTTTAGTCGCAGTAGTTTATCTAAGATGTGTTACTTTAACTAGCATTACCAAAAATGTTATACCTTTTTACAGTTTTTGTCTTACGATTCCTTATAAAATAATATTATATATTGATGGGTATCTTTGGGGTATAGTGCTCAAACAGTAATCTAGAGGTCGCCGGTTTGTTCCTGAGAAAAGTGTGTTGTTTTTTGATGGTTCGAAACTGGACCCAGCTGTACTTGATCATTGGGCTTTCAATAAAATGGTCGTGACTTATGATACAGCTGATCTTGGTCAGTAACAAAACTACACAAGGCATCTCACTCCATTCTACAGTCATCCTTCACTCCGCATTTGGGTTAAAATACGCACTTAGGAGGCGGTACCATCTTAAATGGCAATGGTGATAATAATAAAGTAAACGATGACAGACAATAGTTCTAGACGATTTTTTGGTATGTATTATTATGTCTAATTTGCCTAAGCTGTAAACGCCGTGTTTTTTCCCCCTTTTTTTTCCTTATGTTGCAATTTTCAACATAGCCAAAGCTATTTATACAATGAGTTTTACCAAACGAAAGTAGCTATAACAATTATTAAGTATCATCGTATGAAAGATTTGGTAAATCTAGGACTAATAATATTGCTTATTAAAAACTATAAAACTACTCATTAAAATTGTTTTAAATGTATACGAGTTGTCGGCCCGTCCTACATACGGGAATGGAGTAGTCCATTAAAACTGTATATATAATTCAAGCACAGTTTAAGCAGTTCAAAATCTATTGTAAAGAAAAAGCTGCCAAGATGAATTAATGAAATAATGAATGAAATAATGAAATAATGAGTTTATTCCTTCAAAACAAATAAATACAAAATAATAAATTCACTTGGAACTACGTTGCCACATTTTCCAGTAATCGTGGCAAACGTAAAACAAACAAAAAAATTAAACAATTATATTTACAACTTAGTGAGTCCAGTCTCTTTACTTGAAAAATACAAGTTGCCGCTCTCTGTGGCGTCTTAAGTATAGCAATATAAAATTAGAGCTTAAAAAAATTAAATCCTAAAGTTTACAGAAATACTGTTATAACTAAAAATTTATTACCTTTTCGTGAAATGGAAAACAAATCGGAAATTACAAAAATAGCGAAACTTAACGGATTTATTTGAAGAAAAAAATAAAAAATAAATATTCTTTGAGTGGTTGATGTAAATTGTCATATTATAATATTATTAAGAAAATATACGTCCGGATAACTTAAAAGACAATGTTTTAATTTTGAAGAAAATTTATCTAAGGTCAAACAAAATCTGATATCTCCCGGCAGTTGGTTGAAGTATTTGGGACCATTATACTGATAAGAATGTCTGAACAATGACTTGTTTACTTTAGGTAAACGGAAAATGCCTTGATTGTTTTGTCTAGTATTATACAAAAGGTTGCTTGTCCCAGTATTTCCATTGCGTACATAGAAGAGTTTTAGAACCTTAAAAATATATAAGTGCTGAACTGGGAGTATTATTAATTGAGAAAATAACGGGAAAGAGCTTTCACGCTTATTAGTTTTAGTTATTATCCTTAAAAAATGATTTTGTGTAAACCTTAATTTTTTCAATATAACTTTTAAAAGTTCCGCCCCAGCATTGAATTGCATACTGGAGTCTTGATTGGACAAGAGCAAAATAAAGAGTTCGAAGTAAGATGGTATTACAAATGTTTTTTATAAAATAGAAAACTCTTATAGTATGTTTAATTGTTGTATGTAGTGTGGAAATATGTCTGTCCCAGTTTAGATTTTCATCCAAAACTACTCCGAGATATCGAAAATGCATGACCTTTTCAATTGTTTTGCAAATGCATGAAATTAAATTACAATTTGAAGAATGATAAACTAGATTGTTTGGAAAGTTAAAACTATTTATTAGACTGAAATTTATGTATTTTGTCTTATCAACATTAACCTGCATTTTATTTGCTTTACACCAATCACTCAAAAGCTGAAGATCTTCTTGGATGTAACCGTAAAGAGTGAAAATATCTTTTTTGGGAATAAAAAAACGCAATGTCGTCAGCAAAAGCACATACGTGTCCATGGAACGGAAGCTTGAGAAGGTCATTAATAAATATGAGGAAGAGGGTTGCAGAGGTAACTGATCCCTGGGGAACACCTGTCCTGACATGTAGAGGAGAACTTAGTTGGTCTAAGATCTTTGTTTGCTGTATTCTGTTTGAGAGAAAACTAGAAAACCACTTATTAGCTACACCTTTAACACCAGCAGCATCTAATTTAGATAATAAAATATTATGGTCAACTAGATCAAATGCTTTTTTAAAATCAACAAATAAACCTGTTGCTTTGTTTTTGCTATTTAAACTTTGATAAATTTTATCTGTGACTGTAATTAGGGCATCTTCTGTCGACTTTCCTTTCCTAAAACCAAATTGAGAGTTGCTGAAAAAATTTAAACCATCCAAAAATGTTGTAAGTCTGACTTTCATTAATTTCTCAAAAACTTTAGAAAAAACTGAGAGCAAACTAATAGGTCTGAGATTGTCTAATTTTTTTGACGAGCCTTTTTTATGAATGGGCACTATGATGCTTTGTTTTAGTTTTTCTGGAAATGTACCACATGCAAAACTAAGATTAATCATGTGGACTAAAACAGGTGCTAGGATTTTAGAGACAGTTTTTAAAAGTTGAACAGATATTTGATCAAAACCTGTTAATTTTTTATTTTTCAACCCATTTATGGTAGCCAAAACTTCGGGAATGGTAGTTGGAGCAACAAAGAAGGAGTGGGGACAACAATGCAAGGGTCGAGGCTGGGGAGGGGGAGGCCCGTTGCAGCTTTGACCTTGACATTGGACAGAGATAAAATACTTGTTAATCTCTTCGGCAACTTGTTTGTGATCATTTAAAATTGTTTTGTTTTCCAATTCAACTTCAGTTACATTTTTCTTATCAGCTGTACCTAACACATTATTTAAAACCTTCCAATATTGAGAAGAATCCCCATGACAATTATTAATTTTGTTAGCTAAAAATTGGTTTTTAGCAAAATCAATATCTTCTCTTAATTTGACACAGAACTCGTTAAAATACTTGCCAAAATGTAAATCAAAAGGCCTTTTCCTATACAACAAGTACAACTTCTTTCTTTTCGATATCCTTTTGTATAAATTAGTATTTATCCATGGACTTAACGATTTAGATTTTTGAAATTTATTGTACTTAAAAGCTAACTTAGATTTGTTTATTACAGTACATAGTTTTTTATAAAATATATTATAACAATAATTAACATCATTTGAAAGCAAAATATCTTCCCATTTTTCATTTTCTAACTTTTCTTTGAATAAAATAAAATCAATTTTATCTTTTTGTTTGAGTAAGCTAGAATCATCTATTATTTTACCTTTACACATTAAATCAAAAGTCAACCCCAATAAACAATGATCTGTTAGACCAATATCAAAAATAACACTTTTAAAAACAGTTATGTTTGGATGTCTTACAAAAATATGGTCTACGAGTGTTTTCGACAGATTAGTTATGCAGATTAGTTATTAACGCATGGGATCATTGTTATTTCCCAACCTTACCTCGAAAATTTGAGTGGCAATAGTTATTTGTGTAACTAGTGGGGAAAGTGGCACTTTGCTGCTCGCCTGCGGCTCGTGCGTAAACATTGCTCTCGTGTTCAGCAAAGGCCTTTTGCACTCGTGTTACACATTATATTTTTCCTACGGTCACTATAAAGCATATAAATAATTAGTCTTTCAAACACTATAAAACACGTTTTTAGGTTCAGCTGGCAACACAAATAGATGCCCTAGAGAAAGTAGTTCCCGGTCCGTATCACTCCGCTTTTTTCCTGGGCAAGAAATGTGCTCCGTGACTTGAGAGTATAGTTCAGTATTTTTTTTGTAATTTGAAGTGGTTTCCGGGCCTATAAAAATGCTTTAAAGGTATTTTCTTGATTATTAAGATCGTAGGAATGTTTTAAAAAACATTTAAAAGAAGAGTCCACAAAGTTCAGAAATACCGAAACTATAAACACGAAATGACAGGTTAAATCGTATTTATAATAGTCAATCAGCTGCTCATAGTATTATTATCTTTAAGTGTTGCCAATTTATTTCCAAGCGTACACGGATTACGTGCATAATAGAACCACGCTGTTTTGTTTTGTTTCGTTGGAATCCTGATGTGCGCCAAAGTATAAACCGTATGACAAAGTATAAACCGTACGACAAAGTATAAATATGCAGCAATTAGCAGCTTTATGTACTCTAGACAGTACAAGGAAGCCAACTTTGTCGGGTGACTGTAGGAAAAATATATTTTCATAAGCTTTCTTTTGAAAGCTCGTGAGCTTCGATTCGTATACAGCAATGGTTATAGAATCTTACTTATTTCCTATAATCAATGACAAAATCACAGAGTAAATAAAATCACCTCATAGTTCTATAGAATATGGAATATTTTTATATTCAACCAGCTGTTAGTTATAACAAATTATATTGAACTAAAACAAACTAATGATTTTAAAGACTGCTCAAAAAAATTAATGAGATGATTTAGTATTTTACTATGTATATTTTAATAATCTGTCATCCTCTTACCGAATAAATGAAGGTATAAATGATTATAGCTTTAC